CCAAAATTGATATAGTTTAGACCCATCCTTGAGAAATTATGATCACATTTCTTTAGAAACTATTTTTGGGGACATAAAAATCAAATAAATGAACAAACAACATCCTTACAGAAGAGGAACTTTCAAAGAAAAAACCCCAAAGAGAAACAATGAAATGATTACTTGCTACTACTGATATGTAATCTGCTTTTTAAGAAGCAGCATATATGGGCCTTGAAGGGGGCCATGTTTTACAAAAGTAACATGTTCATTTTATTTTTTCCCTGCTGTTGTGAAAAGTTGTTCCTTCATAAGATTCCTCAGGCTCCCTTTCAGGCATTTTCATAACAGTCTTTTATAATTAGAATTTTGACAAACAGAAGCTTCTACAGACAACCATGTAAAGATAACGATAATGCATAACGTGATTCTCTGCAAGGTAGGACTGGGGCTGGGTGGGGGTTGGGGTGGGATAGAAGTGGGCAGGGCTTGTGAAAGAATACAGCTGTGGTAAGTGAGACCTGGTGTTGAGCCTCGTGAAAATGTTCTGAGGACAGAGGGTAAGTTATCTAGCTCTGATTAATCCTGCATAAGAATACTGCATAATTTGTCCCTGTCAAGAACCAACTCCTCTCACTTGCTTGCTGCTGACTTAAATCCAAGAGGAAGAAAAAACCAAACACTGCTTTCTCTTTTGTTCCCTGCAGAGCTTGGGACTCCCTCTGCAGCCTGGCGCCTGGTGGCTCTGACCCTGCTGACTGTGTGCGTGGTGTTGCTGATAGGCTTGACCATCCTGTGCTTTGTGTGTAAGTCTCTGCTCTGAACTCGGGGAGAATCCTGGTGCCAAAGTTTATCTAGAATGAGAAACACTTGTGATGAATATTTTTACTATAGTTCTGAATAATTCAATGTGCCTTTTTTAAACGGCAACTATTTAAATAATGAGTATTTAGTGCAAGAAGCACTAAAATACAGCAACCACTTGCCAACTCGAATTAAACATTCTGTTTGAGAAGAATTTTGACTGTTTGCTTATATGTCAATAAAATCAGCATTTTTTAGTCAGTGCATGCTCCAATCATCTCCCATTCCACATGGAACTGCTATTATGACTCTATATTTTCAGATAGACTTAAGAGAAATGAATTTGCCCAAGATGACACAGTTTATGTATGTACTGGAGTCCAAACTTGAATATAGGCAATATAAGATCTCAGAGCCTGAAATCTTAAACAATGTGCTGTTTTGTATTCCTGAGATGTGGAAAATAGAAATAGAAATAAAGAAATAAGCTGTCCAGGCTGACTTGGTTACTTGGGTTAGTTTTTCAGTTCTACCAGCTCTCCAAAACTCAGCAAAACAGTATCTCCCAAAAGGAAGAAAGACTAGGGAATCTCTCCGGACAGCTGCAATCTCTCCAAGCCCAGAACAGGAAGCTTGCAGAAGCTCTGCAGCATGTGGCAGAAAAACTTTGTCATGAGCTCTATAATAAAACTGGAGGTGAGTGTGTCCTGATAACTCCGTCCTCAGGATCTCTCAATAAAGAGCTAAATTACCCATCAATGTAACTTGAAAGCATGTATTATTTAATCAGCAGTCTGGCAAACTCAATAAAGAGTTTGGGCTTCAAGATCATGACCACTTATTGGGATCATGCAGTTAATATATGTCTGGGTTTACAATACATAAAAGGATTCTTCAAATATAGACATTTATTTTTGTAATTAATTAATTTTATTTTATTTTTAATTTATTTATTACAAATATTCATGATTAAAACAACAAAACAATGAACTTGGAATGCCCAAAATAACACTACAAGTAAATAAAANAGTTTGGGCTTCAAGATCATGACCACTTATTGGGATCATGCAGTTAATATATGTCTGGGTTACAATACATAAAAGGATTCTTCAAATATAGACAGTTATTTATTTTGTAATTAATAAATTTTATTTTATTTTTAATTTATTTATTACGAATATTCGTGATTAAAACAACAAAACAATGAACTTGGAATGCCCAAAATAACACTACAAGTAAATAAAACACAATCTTCTTTCTCAATTTACCTTGGTGCATGTGTTTACAAATTTACAACTTCTCCCCATCAAGAAGTTAAACTCATAACTATAGTTCTGAAATTTTAGGAATCATACAGGAATCAGTTCAAGAAAGCAGATAACCTGAATCAAATCCCAGTTATTTTAATTCAGTGTGACTTGGCTGGGTACCAGAAATATGTACTTTAATAAGGGCTACTCATGAGGAAATGTCAATGGTAGATGAACTACACTTTGATAAAAATGCTACTGAAGGAGACTAAAAGCATCACATCAGTCTGTGTGTGTGTGTGTGTGTGTTGTGTGTGTGTGTATGTGTCTTTCCATTCTGTCCATTTTGGATTTCTTTTTTTTTCTTTTTAATTTTTATGGAATCAAAATTGATTATACATGTTTTTGGGGTTCAACATTGAGATATGTTGATCAAATCAAGATTACTAGCATATGTATTGTTACAAATCATAATTATTCTTTATGCCCCTTGTCCAATCTCTCCCCATCCCCCCTCTAATTACCCTAGATTTCTTCTTTCCTTCTGAAAGAGTAATGGTTACTCTGTTGATTTGTTGCCTAGATGATCTGTCCAATGTTGAGAGGTGTGATCAGGTCCCCCAATATTATCATAGAGCAGATGCTTCTTCTGTCACTCTGAAATGGGCTTCGTGGAAAGAGACATCCTCTTCTTTTCTTTGGTCTCTGCTGGTGACTCTCCTTGTGTCAATGCACTCCAGTGGCTGGCAGACCATCTGCGTGGTCGTTGTGGTGTCTAGCCGCTTTCACAGCAGCCATGGTTATTGTGGTGGCTTTGGTGGTGGGCCACCCACATGGAGGTGATGTTTTTGGCATGCTCCTTGGTGCTGGTGGTGTGCCTGGTTGTGGCAGGGGGTGTCCAGTCCCTGGCTCTATGCCTCAGGCCCCTAGGCGGGCTCCGAGGTGCTGGTGGTGTGCCTGGTTGTGGGTAGGGTGGACCAGTCCCCACCCCATGCCCTGGGCCCCCAGCAGGGCCCCGAGGCACTGGCAGTGTGCTTTACACCACATTTTCTTTATCCAGTCATCTTTTAATTGAGATATAGGTTGATTCCATATCTCGGCTATTGTGAATAGTGCTGCAATAAACATGGGGGTGCAGATATCTCTTCAGTATGCTAATTTCCTTTCCTCTGGGTAAACACCCAGCAATGGGATCACATGATAGTCTGAAGTTTTTTGAGGAACCTCCAAACAGTTTTCCATAATGAATGTGCTAATTTACATTCCCACCAACAGTATATAAGAGTTCCCTTTTCTACATATCGATCCTCCCCAGCATTTAAATGTGTGAATTGTATGACATGTGAATTATATCTCAATAAAGTTGTTACCCACCCACCCCCCAATAAAAAGGGAGAAAGAGTGATCTTTAGGTATCACCCAGCTCACCTACACTCTGGGCTCAAGATAATTTTCCTCAGATATCAGTTAGAACGAGACTCATGATTTTTGTCATTCATTTGCTCATTCATTCAAATATATATTAGGCTCTCACCTGAGTCGCCTCGCTCAGCCAGTGAGCGGGAACCGGTCTGTATGTGGGATCCGAACCCTTGGGCGGGAGCGCCGCCGCGCTTCCCAAGCGGCGCACTTACCCAGTGCGCCACCGGGCCGGCCCTTTGCTTACTTCTAAAATGGGGAACTTCCTATGGGAACCAGTACTTGAGCTGTGTGGTTGAGATAAATTGCTGCTTTGCTGCTGTTTCCCTAGGGAAGGCTTTTTGTGCAGCTCAGGTTTTAATGGTTGACCTTATAGATACTTCTGGCTCTCCAGAGACCTGGTGCACCTGGGTTGTGTAGACACTCTGATCTGGGCCTGAGTTTTTTCAGCAAACTGCACCCCATGCAATTCTGCATCCCTGACCAGTCTCCTCTAAGTGGTCCTGAGCTGATTGGGGGGTGGGTCGGCTGTCCTTGCTGTGTCCCAGTGTTCTCTTGGTCGGCCTGTCTCCCCCACTGCCCATGCCCCAAACACTTCCCATGGGGCAGGCCCTGCGCTGGTCCCATGCGATGACTCACCAGCCTCTGAATGGCTCCCCTTTTTCATATGTTCTGGCTCCTTGCTCCTGCATGGGTCCACGGGAAACCTGCTAGTGGTCTTGCTGTCCTGAGGGCTACCAAGACCCTCTTCTCCCCTGCTGCCTCCAAGTGACTCCCTCTGAAGGGCACAGCTGTGGCTTCTGCTGGCTCCTGCTCCATGTGCTCAGCGGCTGGAGCCTTAAAGCAGCCATGGCCCAAAATGCTCAGAGCAGTTTTTTCTTTCCCTCATCACGGTTTCTCCTGCCTTCATGAACTCTGTAGGTCTCTCCTCCTCTTCCCCTGAGCTCCAGCAGCCCCCAGCTTGGCGGATGTTACATTTTTATAGTTGTAAATTGGTTGATTTGTGGGAGAGAGTGACGCTGGGGACTGTCTATTCCACCATCTTGACCAGAACGCCCCCATTTTGGATTTCTTGATGGTCCAGTTTATTCATTAGCTCTCTCTTTTGATTTCCTTATCATGCACACATAGAAAGCACCAATACGTGTTCAGATCTTCACTTCTTATTTATCTTTGGGGAACTCTAAAGCAGGATGAAATTTCCTAGTCTTCCATTCACACACCAACCACTTCTCAATGTAGCAAACTCTCCGATTGTGGGTTGTTCAGTAAACAATATCAATAGGCACACTTCTGCTTCTCAAGTGATTCTTTTCCTCATGACTAATGATCTTACTGGTCATAATTTTCTTTATTTTCTTATTTTTCTGAAAGCCAGTGTGCCTACTTTTTATTATCCTTGTTGGATGCCGTATCATCAAAAAGAGAATTCAGGTTATCTTGAAACCAGCGGTCTCTGGAATATTCATCTAGCTGACTAAAAACAAATAAAAGGAGAAGCTATGCAAATAAACCAAATTTAGTTTAAATACAAAATCCACCCAGAAATATATTAATGATGTTCCCTATTCTAATAAAAATTCTCATTTTTTGGTTAGATGTTAGTTCTTAGCTTTATTCTGCTGCTTTTCTTTGTTTACTTTCCTCTTATCCACTATACATCTATTTATTTTTTTCCCTTACTTATTATCCAGCCAGCCAGCTAGTATTATTCCTGGTATGTTTCTAGTATTTATTGAGTACCTATTAGCGCATACCACACAAAATACATAGGATTTCTGCCCTCATGAATCACTTACTCTAGTAGGGTAATAGCAATAAATATTTTAAAGATAAAATACGGTGACCAATATGTACCAGTCTGTCCAAAATTTTCCAATTTAGAACTAAAAGTCCCAGTTTTTCTCCTTAAATCTATTCTGCATACACATGCACACACAGTATGTATGCGTATAAACGTACATGGATAGTGTGTGTGTGTGCGTGTCCATGGGAAAGGAATTTCTTCTGACTTTTATTCCTTTTTTTCCCCAGATATTTAAGCAATATTAAATCAAAAACTTAAGAAAAATTATGTGCGTAAAGCGGTATCTTTACCTCCGTCTCTTTAGTTATATGGTTTCTCTAACTATTTCATATATGGCCCTTGAGCTTTAGTCTCTCTCCATTAATTCTAATTATCTCTTGCTTCCTCCTACATATACTCGTTGAAATTTCACTTTCCATCGATTCTCATTTAAATATGGAACTTCATTTTGACAGAGCACAGAGAGAATCACATGTCATATGTGAAGCTCCTTTCGTTTGTGAATGAGTCTATCCAGGTTTGTTAATTTCCTTCTTGCAGAATTTGGAGGCAAGCAGAACTGTCTGAGAGCTCAAAAGCTATCGAGCTGTGCAGCAACTTGGCAGTGTCATCATGTGACAAATATAATCTCCTACACTATTTATTTATTTAGAATGTTGTTTTACCTGGGCCGGCCCGGTGGCGCACTGGAGAGTGCGCTGCTTGGGAGCGCAGCGACCCTCCCACCGAGGGTTCGGATCCCATGTGGAGACCGGTTCCCGCTCACTGGCTGAGCGCTGCGCGGGCAAGCAACACCGAGGGTTGCGATCCCGTTGCCGGTCCCCGGTACGGGCGCGACACCAAGGGTTGCGATCCCGTTACCGGTCAGTAAAAAAAAAAAAAAATAAGAGAATGTTGTTTTACCTTATGAAATATTCCAAATACACAAGGAAATACAAACAACAATATAATACCTATCTGTGTTATATACTTAGATTTTGACATTTGACACTATATTGGGTTTTTTTTTTAATTTTTAAATTTTTTTATTTTAACTCCGCAATATACATTGTAGTTGATTTTTGTGACCCTTTAATAAAGAAACCATTATGATATGACTGAAGTTCCCACCCCACCACACAGCCACCGGAGACTCAATTATGGGTCCCTAACTCTCAAAGGCCCAAGGCCAGGTACCCATACTGGTGTTAAAGTCTTGACTCTCAGACCCTCGTTACTGTATTTGCAACGGCTACCGACATAGTCCATGTCACCTCGACCTGTGCGCTTACTTTCCTGGCTTGGATGCCCAGCTTAAGTTCCGACACATGGAAATTTGCCATTCTAATGCTTGTCTCAGTATTCTTTTTCTAAAAATTTCTTTATTTTTGTTTAGATTGAGAAAAGAGCCCATATCATCTTGATATATATTGTATTTTTAAAAATCCTTTTACTATTATATAAGAGGATTTTGGAGAAAAAAATTATAGAAACCCTGTTTTTGAATACATTGCATTTTGAATTTATAAACATATAAGCAGCTTTATGAAATTAAATATTTTCTCCATGTGCTGAATTGCATAGGCAAGGGACAAGGAAGTTTCAGTCATTCATTACTAGATTCCATACTCCACATAAGTAGTTAGTTCTAACTTCCACTGTTTTAATTTCCACTGTATGCTCAGTACCAATTATAATTCCTGGCATATATTCAGTAAATATTTGTACCTATTATTGCCTGGGCAATTAAATATCTAAGAGAAAAGGAATCAGTTCTTTCTTGGGACATCGAATACTGTATAATTTTAAAAGAGAAACACAGCAGAACCAGGTAGAAAATTACTTATTAAAACTGGTTTCTTTCCAAGGACACAGGTGCAGCCCTTGCCCAGAAAATTGGAAGTGGCATGGGGACAAATGTTACCAATTCTATAAAGAGATCAAAAGTTGGCAGGGCTGTGAATATTTCTGCGTTGCTGAGAACTCTACCATGCTGAAGATAAACACACAAGAAGTGCTGGTAAGATTCTGAAGCTCTTCAATGTTTGAAGGATTCTCACTCAAAAAGAAGCCTTTAAAGAGCTAGTCAAGAAGATTCTAAGGAGTCAGGGATCTTGGTCCCAGATTTTCCCTTTCAATATTTGAAGGATTCTCACTCAAAAGAGGCCTTTAAAGAGCTAGTCAAGAAGATTCTAAGGAGTCAGGGATCTTGGTCCCAGATTTTCCCACTTATTGCAGTCAAGGCTCAATTTTTATTCTTGTTGCTTCCAACGGTTCCCTGAAGTTTGAAAAAGGAATTCTGTTCTCCACCAATACCCACCCCTTAAAAACATGAGAAATATTTCTTCACACTCCACCCCCTCTCAGTCAGGGAGCAAAGGAGGAATGTCTGAATTTCTTACCTCTTTTGATTTTGGTAGAATGGGGACAATATTGATGTGTGTCAGAAAGATGAAAATAGCACTGCCTGCTCTTCCATTATAAAAATGACAAAGCCTTTAACTGAAAAACATTTAATTAAATTACTGCCGTAATCTGCAAATATATCTTGCCTTCCAGAAGTTTACAGCCTAAGATAGACTGATCAAAGCAAATATAAGAATAAAACTACAAATTGATATATATTAAGTCCATGCACTTAGAGTACACCAATAAAGTGGTGTCATTATTCCCCTTTCGTAGTTATCACAGCCTTTGGATTGAATTCCTCAAGCAGTGCGACCATTACTTATTTATCATTGTTTCTCTAGAATTTAGCAGAGTTTTGATGCAGAGATTATCAACAAAGGGTTATTTAATTAAATGCCCAGCTCACTATACAAATTTTTAACAGCCTTCTAGTTACGTCTTAATTCCTACCCACCTCCTAAAATCTGCACAAATGAACCTCTGTGCAATATCACTCATTTACTAAAATAATATTATTTTTACCCTTTTTGATGGCTCCATTTAGGCATAAAGGGAGGCAATTTTTTTTACTAAGACTATGTGTCCTGGCATAAACCCTCCTAATTTTTCTTATTCTTTTTGTTTCCTCTGCCTTCAGCACATCCTGAGGACTCAGGTATATAATTGAACTATATGATATGCACTGGTAGGATTTTGTTGTGAAAGGTATATAGTTATTTTCTCTCATGCACTTCATATATTTGTATATATTTAAATCACTTCTATATGATTTATTTTCAGAGCTTTTAATTTAAAGGTATCCCTATTTAATTGAAAACAGTATTTTAAAATACAGTTCTTGTCACATGCCTTATATGACTACTGCTTAGCAATAATTTCGCTTATATTTCCAATAATCTTTCATTGAATTAGTATGTGACATTAATTATCTGAGGTGTTGAAGATATAATAATTAACAAAAAACAGCATATGGTCTTAAGAAACTCATGGCAGGAAAAAAAGACATCAGAATGGATAATTACAATAAATTTAGACACATTTTGTGTTAAAGATATTGAGTGTAGAGCGAAACTACATAGGAAAAAGTAAATAACTTTTTAAAAATTTCAATATGGATGTCAGAAAAGCAATTATCACGTATATAGCTGTGTGTGTGTGTGTGTGTGTGTGTGTGTGTGTGTGTGTGTGTGTGTGGAAATTAAAAAGCTTTTCTTCCCACCCTTTCGAGTCCAAGACATAAATAATACTTCCAAATCCTTCTTTTACTTCTTTTTTAAAAATTTTTGATTGATGCAGTATAATTGTACATACTTATGGGATACAATCTAACATTTTG